TCCAGTGCAAGAGCGCTGGCGGCGCCTGCACTGTCAGGCAGCAGGGGGAAGGTGGTTGCAGTGACCGCGACTCTGTCAGCCTGCAGCAAAAGGGTCAAAAGGTACTAGTAGAATAACATCATTGGGTACCTATTACATGTTATGTTTAGCTGTGGTTTGACTTATACTTCGATTTTCAGTACCACACATACCTCTGCCACTATTCAGTACTCTCAGAAAATGAAGCTTAGGTGAATAAATACACGATCATCTTCTTTAAGATCAAGCAAAGAGCCTTATATCCAAGTTGAAGCTCAAAAGGTCTCCAGACAGGCAAACCCAACACTCGCATGTTGTTTCTATAGTCCAAAAAAGCATATAGGAACTAAGTAGGTAGCTTTCTAGCTTGCACACATTCTGATTAATTTGTAATGTGTTTCATGAGGGTTTGGTACCCTGGAGATGTCACACAGCTTCTAACCTTAATGAAGCAGGACACCATTTTCCCAAAGGATTGAAGACAGATGAATCCTCACAAAACAGCAGCTTGAATCAACATCAAAGCTGTCATAGGAGAACTCCACTGTGCACTTTATGCTAATTTATAATTAGTACAGTGCCAAATATAGGAAAAGGCTGTTATAATGAGTTTAAGTTGCTGCAATTTAAAGAGGAAGAAGCATTGAAGTGTGTGACTGCTTTAGTCTACTTTCAGGGCGCTTGCTATATTCCCTCCTTGTTTCACACCCCCCCAGACTAAGTCAGTATTATCCTCACAGGAATTGGTTGACCATCTCCTAATCAATTCCCACACATTACTGAAATTATTGGAAGTTTGATTCAGGAAACAGATTAGTATGAGCTAACCTTGGTCCCTGGTGTTCCATCTTTTGCATAGAATAAGTTATTAGGTGTAAGTACTTGAGGTCCTGATAAGGTACTTATAAACATGGAAGCACTCAGATGCTTAGAATGTCAATGGGAGGAGGGGAGAAAGCATAAAATATTTATTCATCTAAGTATTTAAAATAACCTTAGGACCCTAAAGTTTATTACTGTTTGTGACTTGCATACATAATAAATGCTACATACCCTAAAGGTAAGTTTGAATTGCCTTGTGTTTCCAATGCAACTTCAAGGTTGGTAAGGTTGAACATTTTATTCCATCTTGAGGAAGCAAACCCCATGCTTCCCACCCCATAGAACACAATCAAGGGAACTGTAGGAAGAAAGCACCTCCTTAGCTTTGAGTATTCCTGTTTAAGGGTAACTTTATTTTTAAAACTGTTTCCTTAGAAAGGTTTAATGATACAACCATGGGTGTTGTCTGGTAAGCCCAAACATACGGGTTCCTGAAAGGCAGCTGATGAAAACAGCTGTGTTATGAAGCAATTAATCATCAAAGATATTGAATGGTGGCCCAGAGCTGGCTTACAGGAACCCGAGTTTAAAGACAGAACTACAAAATCAAAAGGGCACAGGTGGGAAGTCAAAACTAGGAAAGAGGGGCAGCCAGCATTGCAGCACCCTGAACACACACAGCTCTCACAGGCTCTTGGCCAGTTTCCAGCTGCCAGCAGGGAACCTAAAAGGCTAGGAAGTGTGCCAACCAGGGAGCTGGACACCTAGCAAGGTGCTGCTGCCAGAAGGAGAGATTTCTGAGGTTCAGCCTCTGTCTGGTACAGGTGTGACACAGCATATCTACACTAACTGGCAGTGTTTCAGTACTGGCAAAGAGAGACACAAGAGAAAGATGATTCAGCAAAACTGACTCCAGAATACTGCTGAGTAGCATCCTAGAATCATAGAATCATTAGGGTTGGAAAGGACCTTAAGATCATCTAGTTCCAACCCCTCTGCCATGGACAGGGACACCTTACGCTAAATCGTATCACTGTTATGGGGTTGGTTTGATTGTACTTTTTTTTTTTAATTTATGCTAATTTAAACAAGAACAGACACACTCAAATACTGTTCCCAAGCATACTCAAGAACTGAAATTAAAACATTGGTTTATGTTTAGCCTCAACATTCAGAATGAAGAATTAATGAGCAGTACTGCATTTGTGCTGCCTGAGAAGTCAAAATGTGTGGCAAGCACTTATATGTTGAGCAGTTACACAAAGCTTTAGAAAGCCTTAGGAAATAAAGAGTAAAGATGTTTGTGAACATACATTTCGTGCATCCAAGATTAACATGTTTAAGGAACTCTTTGTCATTTTACATTGACCTAGATATACACATGCATAAAATGCAGTATTTGATAATTTGGGATTTTTTTCCAAAGTAGAGAGTTTAAAGCATGTAGATAGTCTTTAGCAATTATTCCTGCTGAGAACAACTATAAATACACATCTCTCCAACTCTTTTCCCCAAAATAATTTCTAATTTACTACAGGAAGAGTAACAACTTTGGCACAACTTTTCAGAGTTCTTATAGTAGTAGAGAACAAAAAATTGGAAAGCATCTGTCAGTTATTTGAAATAATTATTTTCTGCTACTATCAGAAGCCAAAATAGTTTTCACTTAACCTGAAGTGCATAGAGAATTCTGTCAAGAAATATTATCAAATTTAATTTATCACCTTAATGGGAAAGAAAGAAGCAAACAGCATTCCCAGGTTTCACCTCTCAGTATTTCATGTTTTACCCAAGTCTCAACATCTTTAGGCAGATAAGTCATATAAAAAACAAACAATAAAACCTAACAAGCAAGAACTTGGATTCTCCAAGTCTCTAGTCCTCAGCTGCGGGGGAAGGACTGAACAGCTGAACTGTAAGCAGCCAAAGTAAATAAAACCACCTGAATCAGATTCTGAAATCTCAGTACTTCAGTTTAAAGCATAAAACATGACATTAAACAGACACTAATGAAAGTCTTTTAAATCTAGAAATTGTATACAAAGGAGGGCACACTAGAACAATCCATCTTTTTTCACAGTTACAAGCTTTTGCACTTCCTACATTAACTTAGAGCTCACTAAATGCAGACTACAAAAGTTGTGAGTACCAACAGGTATTTTGTCACTATATCAGACCTTTCCAAAATAAGATTTACTTCCACTTGCTTCATTTAAGAGCCCTTCAACACAACTTTCATAGCAATGAGAAAAAAAGTATCTATTATGAAACATGCATAAGTGAAATATTAAGGTCCAGTGACTTTTACACTTTGCTTAGAATAAAAGTGAAGGAAACTCAGTTCACAGGAATATTGCTGAACACATCTTTAAATAAGGCATATATGGATACATGGGTGTGGCAAAGCTTGGTTCTTCAGGAACAAAAGGTACAAACGTTTTCAAAACTGAGATCGTATTAGAAAGTAAACAGTAAGAACTAGCTTCTTTCTCAGTCTCACCAGACCAATCTGGCTCAAATCCAGAACAGAAAGAGGAAGGTCCAGTAAGATCCCACTCAAGCAGAGTAAGACAGATAAATATCTTTGCTAAAGACAGAAACTCCCAGGCAGAGATAAACGTTGGGTACAAATGGCACCTAGCACACAGAGCAAGATAAGACATAACAGTTCTACCCCTTCTCAACCAACTCAGTATTCCACAAGTGCATGAACACTTAGCCCATATGGTTTATGCATAAAGCTGTTAGTGACAGAGAACTCATTGCCAAATTAATTTCTTCCTCCTACCAAATGCTGCTACACTTTCTGTGTTTACTCATACACCAACTTCAAAAGAAAAGCTCTCCATTTTAATAAAGAAAAGTCAGCTTGTTTATGCAGAAAGTTCGGTTTGTTCATAAATAGTTATCTTCCATAGCTACAATTTCAATACCAATTAGTCAGGAATATCACTAAATCCCAAACATTCATCACACAGAATTTACTTCTAACACAAACCAGCAAAAGCTAATGTTACTCTCCAAAATGTCTGTAATCCTTGAATGCCCACATGCAAACAAGAGTAACAGAAAAACAGTCTTACCTTTTTTGTCAGAGGAAAATAATCAGGTGCACAAAACAACTGTCACAGAGGTTTCTTGTTCCATAGGGTATGAAGGATCAATCACTACTAGTAAGCCCTTAAATAAAACCTGAATCTAGCCTGTACAGCATAACTGCACGCAGCACCACAGGGTATGAAGCATGTATCAGTAAGTATATTTATAAAGCTTAACTGCAACTGCCTGCAGCACCTTCTCAACAGAGCATTCTAACACTGCAGCATGTGACTAGAGCTGTAAAAGCCGTAAATCAGTTTCCTGCTTCTTTAACTGATTGACTAATTAAGACCATCATCAATAAAACTACTTACACATGGAGACAAGAACAGCTGAATTTTCTGAGTTTTCACACTCATCTCATGAACTAAATTTAAAGCAAATAGAAACTGTATGGCACTTTGAATTTTAAGCAGTATTTTCAGTAACGCTATGTAACAAACACATTCAAGAATTAGGTTTTTTTCTCTTTTCAAAGAGGGAACGCACACAGAAATTCGTAAGTTGTGCAAGGAATCTTCATTGAACCATAGTTCAAGATTCTTTTTTCTCTTCTGGATTCACACAAAAAACACCCCACCTGGGCATATACCCCAGTATTTATTTAACCGGATTCTCATACTGATCTTGCACAGTTGACATGCAAGTACAACAACATAAGTAAAACTGAACTGTTCCTTTGCACCACATGGAATTTTATAAAACTCTAATATTAATCAAACAAAAGCAGCTTTCCACACCAGTTCATCCTGCAGAACAGTTTTACCATTTGACAATTAGGAGTATCACCACTACCAGACAATCTGAACTTCCTGGAGAAAGTGAGCAAGTTAAAACTTTTTCTTCTTATTCCAACATACACAATGTTTTCAACTCTTCCAATGCAAGTACACAAGGAAACTCACAAAAGACACTGGAAGCAATTTTCAAATGAACCACATTTTCTGGAAGGCTGAGTAGCTGACTTCAAGCTATTCAAAAGATACCAAATTTGAAAATTATTTTTCCCTTTCTAAACTTCTTCCATCTCCTCATCAATAGCATTCACTAAGAAGTAGAAATCAGTTTACAAATATTTAATTATAATTGGAAAAATATTACAAAATGCAAAATTTTATTGTACTTGGGACTACAGAAATGCATTACTTCAGTTTATCCATTTCCTTCAGATTTGAGAAAAAGTAACAAGCAAGACAAATGACAACGAAAACCAACAGATTTATGAACCAGTTTCACCAATTAAGCTCAAAAATTCAGACAGTATTTTGCCAAATATTCAGATTTCAAAGGCTGAATCTGGCAGATGCCATTCTCCACATAAGTGCTGCATTCCTAGAATGAACTAATGCCCTCCAGTAATACAGAAAGTCAGTCACTCAGGCAAGGCGGGACTTATAAGAGACCAAGAATTAGCATCTCCGAACACTGGAGTAAGCTGAAGCATTTTGGATCCTCTGTCAATTCAGAGCTCATCATGTTTTGCAGGGTCCATACTGGGTTTGATGAAGACGCCCTCCATTGCTTTCCAATAGTTGTGATGATTAGCAGTAGGCATGCCATGAACTTCCCGTTGGCCTCTAATGGGATGGCCATACTGTTCCCCAGTTATTGAAAGGAACACCTCAGTTCCTACGTGCTTGAAGCGCACCGCATCCTCCCGCTCCCAGTAAGTCCCACTGCATTGCACAATCCATATATCGAGGTCATCTCCTTCGCCATCATCACCAAAGGCACTTACTTCCTGTTAGAGACACAAGCTTTCTGAAGTCAAAATGTAACACCTTCAACAGACACACAAAACCATCAACCACAAAGTCAGCAGAGTTTCAAGGCAAGGATGGAGAGAAAAGAAAAAGTGCTGCTGCACTGCTTTACAAGAGTTATCAAAGGCAGAAGCAGTGACTTTCTACTGCTACAATCTGAACACAAAGTGCCAACAAACACTAACATGTTATCTGAGCAAAAGTGCCAACAAACCCCAGCACACATTACAAACAAAATAAAAAGGTGTACTTGAGTACAGAAATCAGAACAATCCTTCTGAGAAAAAATTCAAAAGAAGCAACACTAATGCTGAAGCAAATTTTTCTTCACTCAAAAACATTTATAACTGTAGACATTTAGTTTTGTAGTATGAACATCTTCATAGCTACCATTGCAGCGCTTTTTTTCAGCATGTGTTTTTATCACAACACCCCATTTAGCTTATTAAATTATCATATCCCTTTTTCATTTAATTACACCAAGCTTTCAGTTGGGTCAACAACTATCCTGGTTTATACTATTTCTTCAGATACACTTCTGAATAGCTCTTAAAAAAACATAGGAAGACCATAAAAGTAATTAAATTCTTGATAAAACAAAACAGACAAGATGAGATTTCACTATGTGGCCCCCCCAAAAAAACCTCAAGCATTTCCAGAAACTGGATAGGCTAAACTCCAACTGTTTAGGACTTTTGACAACCTTTAATTCTTAAAAATCTGATAACTAGAAATGATGACCAACTTCAAAACTGAACTGCAGCAGTTTGTATCAGTAACCTAAAATTTCAGGGTCATGTTAGTTCAAGTTCCTGTAGTCCAAAAAGTGTGAAAGACAACATACTAACTGAAAATCCAACTTCTGTTAAGAACATGAAATTAAAGTTTGTGTTCATAACTACGTATTTCAACAATTCATAAATCACAGGCCTGTCAATCTCTGGGAAGTCATGCAAATTTTCCTTGCTCTTAGATACTGTGCAAAACCAAAGAAACACAATGACAGTTGCTGAATATTTTTACATAAATGACAATGTTATACAAATTGTCTAAACTGAGAAATGAACACTGGGAGAAGGTTTTAGAGTCAATCTGTTCTTTAAATCATTATTCTGAAATGCCATTTTCCACCCACTTCTTTTGTTTTTCACAGTCAGTCCAGAAAACTGGACTTTATTGTTTCACCCCTGTTACTCATGATAAAACACAAACCTTTTTCACAGAGTCAGATCTTTCAACTTTGAATGTAATGGCCTATCTACATAGGCTGAAGGAAAACTAAAGTGACTACTACTGACAAAATTCCACGAAGTTTGCATTACCTATTTTAAGTGAGATTTTCTATGTTGGAGAAGCATTTGTTCAAGGGTAAAACTTGAATCTAACTACATTCAGAAATTATGCTCTCCTAGATACATACAAAATGACAAATAATTGCAATCGTCACAGCAGATTTATTTTTCCTGTAGAAAGACAACATATAATTAAGAATATTGAACTGAAATAGGGGTAGCAAGAAGATGACTAATAGATTGGATCACCAAGAAACTCGCATCTAGGAATGCCTAGTGCTGCAACATGATTAGCTGCCTTGCTCTAGAGCAATCTTCGTAACATCAAGGGATGTGCTCAGTCTCCTACACCTTGAAAGTGCTAATTATTTCCCCAGTAGCAATGGTGCATAATAACAATAATAATGATAATAATAGCAGCAGACGTTAAAACTTCTGTGAAATACCGATATTGGTACATATTAAATTTTGCCTCTGTCAAGAACTTAAATACATTATTCCAAGATGCAGAGAAACATACACTTGAATTCTGGATGTGCATAGACTGTTTCTGTCAGCTGGTATCCAAGTCTGATTCTTCAAAAACACGAGAAACTGGAGAGACTATTGTCAACAGCATGCACTATTTATACAAAAGCTTAAGATTTAAAACAACTTACTTGGTTACTGGAAAGTGGTGATGGGAAGTGATGAGTGTGTAAATTTTTTCCTGTGTTAACATGGGTGAGTCGTATGGCTTGCCCACATTTCACCGGTGTCCCGCGCTGGCAACTGCCATCACGCTTCCCACGAATCCGCCAGTAACTGTTAGCATCATCCGAAGCTTCAACTCCTGTCACTGACTGTTGCCCACTTCCTGTTTGAATAGAATTAAATAGCAGGAGACTTAACCCACTTCCCAAGTTCAGGAAGTCCTGAAAGAACTAAATAAATTTGTTTAAATGCTCTCATGTTTTCATGTTTAAGAGATGTTTAATTCTCTCAGTTCATTTACTAACTGTAATGGGCATACAGGTACCAAGTAATCTTTCAGATTGAAGAAGTTAAACACAGCATGCAAAATACATCCAATTCACATTCATTTCTCAAAAATACTACCAAGTTCTTTAGGTCCCCAAACAAATCAGCACCCTTGTTGCCACAACAGATGCTGCCAAGGTAACGTCAAGGCCCTAGACACAGAACAGGGACCACTTTAGAAATGAGGGCAAAGCATCCCTGTCACATCCCAGCTCCAGGACCTGCAAAGCACAGCTGCAATATCTTCCCATACTCCAGGCCTCAGGATCTGCCTCTCCTTACTGGGCTACCATGTCTCCAGTGCAGCCCTCAGCCCCATCCCTGGCCTGCTGCTCCCTCTGCACCAGGGACATAAACCTCAGTAACCTCTGACCACCTTCTCCTTCCCTGCTCCCCTCACAGGCTGCCCCCCCCCCGCCATTTTCCTGCCCCTCACACCCTGCCCCCCGCCATTTTCCTGTCCCCTCACAACCTGTCCGTCCCCCCCCCCCCGCCATTTTCCTGCCCCTCTCACTGTCTGTCCCCTCAATTCTGCCCAGCTGTTGCCATTTCCCAGCCCGCCCCCCTCACGGCTCCCCGCCCGGCCTTGCCCTGCTCACCGGATCCATACTTGACCTCATGTGAGTGGAGCCGCACGCTGTGGCGGGTGTTGAGCAGCTTCAGCACCGAGCCGCAGGTAACAGCGCTCGGCGCCGCTTCCCTGCCGTGACACAGCCCGCGCAGCAGCGCCAGGAGCAAGAGCGGGAAGAGTCGGCAGCCCGCCTGCATCGCGGCGCAGCCCGGCCGGCACCGCCGCCCCCTCAGCGGAGCGCGCTTCCGCACCCCCCTACAAGAGCACAACCAATCGCCCCGCGCCAGCACCATGGCCGGCCAATCCCCGCCCGCCCTCTGCTCGGCCTCGCTTCCGCATTGGGCTTCGGTTTAGTGACCTCACCGCCGCGAGACCTATAGCAGTAGTAGCTCATTGGGCCAAGGGAAAAAGGTGACCAATCAGAGCAAGCGGCGTGGCACCTCCCAGGGAAGGACGCGAAGGAGGATCGCGGTGCTTTTACCTCAGTGGCGCCTCACGGCTGAGCGCGGCTCCCGGCCGGGCCCGCGACGTCTGGGGTGGACCCTATGGGCCGGGTCAGCGCCCAGCGGGGCCCGCAGCGCCTCCACCCGCCGGTGCCTTAGCAGTCAACCTGGCAGCAGAAGCCGTGAGCAGCCCGGTCTGCGCTGACAGGACTGCTCCTGCATCTCTCACTACTGCTAATTGGCTGATGCCGGAGCAGAGCAGGCCATGTTAGTTACAGCAGCCTCTCGTCCGGCAGGTAGTCCAGGCTGTGAGAAAAGTAGTAGCAGGGTCACTGGACTGATTGCTAAGGACCTTGGGAGAAAACGTGCTGCAAGTAGGACTGGTCAGTCGATTACCATGGGAGCAAGGGAAGAATAAATGTCTTCACAGTGAGAGCACTGTCCAGCGTAAAGCAGCTCTACAGTTACTAGCTCACGTACAGGTAATTGTCCAGATACAGTCCCAGGGAGACAGAACTGGCACACGTAGGTCAGTCAGCTTGTGTCGCTACTACATTAAGGACACTTCCAGCTCAGAGCTGGCACATTCATGTTTGCTCCGCCCTGCAGTTCTGGTTCTTACAGTTGTGTAGATATGTACCCATCTGGAGATTTACAGACAAATGTGACATAATGCTGAGAACCAAAGGATATTCGTGGTAGTGAACTGTTTTGTATGATAATAGAGTACTGGTCCTGTAATTTCTGGATTATATGAGAGCTTCTGATGATGAGGCATAAATACTATACAAAGAGCGATTACTGTATCATTAGCTGTAGTGATCACATCTTTGCTTTTGGATCTGGAAGTTCACCTCCTATGATTCAGTCTCTTTTATGAAGTTTTTCTAACAAAAACAGATTATTAAGATCTGTTCAGTATTAAAGACAGCTGCATAAATTTACATACATACTGTCCTCATTGCATATTGCAGACTGAATAAATCTAACCACCCCAAAAAAGTCTCCTTTATCAATAGGCAGCAACCATGGACATAGGATACAGGAACTCCTACAATGGTCCATTAGCTTTTGCCTCTGAAACTGCTCACTGGATCGACCCATATATCACATCACAGTCTGGTGGGAGTGTCATGTAACACTGAGGAATACAAAGTAATTTAACAGAGCAAAAGCTTTTGACCTTCTTAGCAGCAAGGAAGCAGATAGAAGGGCACCTGCCTTGGCACTTAAGTTTGTATAATGATGGTATTCTGTATGTCCAACAGCAAAGAACCGCAACACTGCAGTCTCTATGACAGGATGATTTAGAAAACACATTAATGTTGCTGGCTAGCAGAAACATCATAAGATGCTCAGCTGACTATCTCTTCTACCCGTCCTGGATCTGTGAGTTTTTTTTCCCACCCATGTGATAGCAGTCAATTGAGTGGTTAGTTTTCTTTATGCTGGTTTTTACCCATTTTATATAGTTATATCTATATCTAAGAAAAATCTCTGATTTAAATGTCAGGACTGCATTAAAAACAAGTCCGAGTACTAAACTCAGTCACACACACGCGCACACACACACACACACACACACACTCATTTTTATGAGGACTAAAACCTCGTTTCCTAGTGCCGGAAGTATAAATGTTTGCTCATAGAAAAGCAAAAGATCACCCATTGATAGTCAAATGCGATATTTCTATGTCATTCTAAAAAGCCTTGCAGTTTTGACTAAGACAACAGCTTGCATTTGCTGTTCCTGTTATAAATGGGGCAAAACCAGATGTCTGTGATTGCCATTCTAGCCGTGGAAAATCAATCATATGGGGCTTTAGCTGGCACCTGTCTATCTTTCTGGGAGGTCGCTCAGTCTTCATGCATTTAGTGCCATTTACATGATGCTTCCTACAATGCTTTTCAGTCTTACTTTAGAAACATAATTGGGTTTGAACGGTTGCCAACAAAGAACTTCATCAATGCGAAACACCCATAGCAATTAACTGCCACCTTACTACTACAGGGCCCACTATTGTTTCTAGTAGATTGCTGTAAGCTACAGGTAAAACTGCCACAGAAATTATGTGAGTGCATACTGGTAGCGGCAACATCAGCTTTTTTGAGAGAGATCATTATGATTCTTGTTTATGGACACAAAATAATTTAACAGTGCTGTAAAAGGGGAGAATGTAAAACGTAACTAGAGTGTTTTCTGCCCTCACTTAACTCTGCAGTCCTTCTGCACACTCAATTTTCAAGGATTTTGAAAACACCTACCCTTTCCACTCAGATGCACCTGTAGGTATAACCTGGCCTTCCCTGACAAACACATTTTAGTGGGATTTGGCAGTGCCAAATGCTTTTGGAATTCAGGAATGAGAAATCTGTGTCAAATGAAAACTTCAGAGGGTATATGCTGGCCCAAAGCAACATATAGAAAAGGGTTTTTCCTCCTTTTTATATTGCCCTTGTTAAACATGCTGTAAGCTTTCTGTTTGCTTTGCATGACAAAAGCAGTGACTGGCAACTAAAGCAGCATAGCAGGCAACTCTTGGTCTTGATCTACACCCCAAAAAAACGCACTGGTGCATCTTTTGGCATCAGATCTCATTGATTGGTGGAGAGCACTACAGTAACATCGTCCAGATTCTTTCCCAGACCGTCATTAACATTAGGCAAAACAGATCAGGCATGGTTCTGAACATCTTAGTACCTGATACAAAACCAAGTCCACATGAGCTCTTCCATTGACTTTTCTCTGCAGCTGGTCCTTTTTCCAATATCAGTAAAGATGAACTACACTGAAATCAAGGGAGTAACAGTAGAAAATCAGGTGTGTAACCATTCTGTAATTTTTTTCTGTGCCCTTCTTTCACCCCACACTGATGAACTCCGGTGGTTATAAACCTCATTTCAGATCAAACATTTGTATCTATTGGCATGCCTTACAATAGAGCTCTTCTGTGACCCCTAAGGATAATACAAAGAGTAAACAGTAGTAATAACAATAAAATGCTGAGAAATCAAAATGACAAAAAAGCTTGCAAAAAACTTAGGGAATTACAGAGTTTCTTTTCACTCAGTCTTTCAAGGACTAGAGACTCAAAATCAGCTATTCAGATTTTGGCATTCAGTAGACAGAATAAGCAGAGTTAGTAAAGAAGAAGACATTTGACAAAAAAAGTATCGACATACACGTATTTAAATTGAAGAACTTTTCACCTGGGAGAGAAGAGATGATTAATTTTTTTTATTGCTGTCTTCTGTTTCTAGTTTTTGAGGAAGAAAGGGCTTCCTTGAAAGTGCTGCAAAGCCCTGGTGATCTGTGTCCAGTAGCATTGCCAGCATCTTTCAACTCCTCTCTGACGCCAGTCCTTCAAGATGGAACCTCTCTTCAGAGCTCCAAAAGAATTATCATACATTTCCACTCAACCAGCTGAGATTTTCCAGGTGCTTTCAGTGATGCTGGGAGACAACAGTCGCTGTAAGTGATCTGCCAGAGTAACTTACACTCGTAGTAACATTGCTGAGGACTTCCTGATGTTCTCAATGATAACAGTAGTCCTTTTGTAGAAGGAACTCTTTTGAGATTACAATGAATACTCATGGTTCTACAGCTGTCTCTTCTTCCATGTCTGATAAAATAGGTAGTCCTCCCTGGCTATCATTTATACTAGTAAATGTTTTAGATGTTGTTTCTCTTGAAGCCCAGCAGTAGCCTGCTTTAGTTAGTCTTCCACCTCTCATGGTAGACTTTCAGGGAATTTTGGAGGCAGTAGTTCTGTCATATGCGGCAGAGGAGTGGTATTTTGGCTAACGGGTTTCTTGATTAATTCTACTTTGCCAATACTCATTTTCTGTTTACACAGAAGCTTTTTGTTTCCCTTTTCTGATGTAAGCTTTTGAGATTTATAAGAACTTCAGATTTCCTTGTTTCAGCCCTATCAATTTGTGCTTACAGCCTTATGCCACTACCCTGCACTTTTTTTAAGCCAAACATTCTCTCAAGGTGCACCTTTGTAACAGGAACAAACATAAATCCAAGCTACTCTGGAAGTAATTTTCCACAGTTAGATAAAAGTGTATCTGACTGCATTTTCAATGGGACACTTGCCAGTCTCCTTGTGCTTTCTGAAAAGCCTGTATCCTCCTAACTTTACATTTTTGCTTCCCTACTCCACCCCTTTAGGAAGTGACCTGTTCCTTGTATCTTTAATTAATTTTAATGGCTTCTAATCAACATTTGTAAAAATCAGATTCAGGCTTAACCCTGTTCTTGTTTATACAGAGTAAATTGAAACTGAGGAAGTTATTTTGAATTTGATATTGTAGTTTTGATGACTTTCTATTTCAGCATCAGAAAGTAAAAATGTAACCTATGTTACATCATTTCAGGTAGCTTTTAAAGTAATTTTGTGCTTAATGGGATTTGAAAAACTTCTAGATTTTTTTTATCTGATTCAATAGTAGATAAATATTCATGTAATTCTGAAAATTCCACTAAGGATCTATTTTATAGAAGGATCTTTTATAAAATCATCCACTTTTTGACCTCAGTGAACGTGTTATTTTGCCTAGAGATAATTTCCTCTAGGTACTTTCACCATAAATACAAAAAAAAATGAACTCCAGATACTATAATAACTTCCAGAGAAGGCAGACTTAAGTCCTGAGTTTTGATACAATCAAACAGTTAATCGAATCAGATAGTCTAGTTTAAGCTATTAATCCCCACACTTACACAGCACTCATTTCATTTAATCATCCAGTTGAAGGATTCCCCGTCCCAGCTCTTTTTTTGACCAGGCATCTTTGTATATTTAAAAGACCTTAACATCGGGCAAAGCAGCATCTGGAAAAGGAATGGACAGGCTTTACTTCACCTCAAACCCAGTCAAAAATCACAGATACTAGAGCTTAAATTCAAATTTAAACACTAATCTTTACTCCACATGAGACACTCTGAAGGAAACATAGTGGAAAGAAAGTAACCCTCTGAAAAATGAGAAGGTGGATTAAAATGAGCAATACATAGTCTCTCTAAAGACCCCAAGAGGAGGATTTGCATCAGGGAGCATTTGAGTTTGGTACTTTTAACCAAACTTTACACACATTATAGTATGCCATAATGTAATGCAAGTGTCAAGTTAATAATAAGGTCATGATGGCAATATTGCCTTTATCACTTTAAGCCACCTTGATAGTGCCATGAACTTTGTCAGGTATTGACATTATTTTGTGCTGGTGTGAATTCAGATGGCTTCAGAAAGGGGAGGGAGAAAGTGACAGGCATACTGCCTAGCACATGGTGTGCAGGGAAGCCATTCAGCTCTTGACAGAGGTACCCTGGATTTGGGTGACTTCAGCCCTTTTTGATGCAAGAGGGAGGCAGCTGTTAAATGCAGCAGATTGCAAGTCACAAGTAAGGAGTCTAATCACAGCGTTTTGATGGGTTTATCCAGCATTATAGTTAGTTTTGAATCAGCTTGGAACAATACTCTTTGCTGCTTCCATCTGGAGTAGCAGTGCTTGTGCCCAGGATTTCCAAGAGCTACCTATGGGCAGAACACACCCGCCGTGTCCCCTCCCTCCTGGGGATTTGGGCAATTAATTCAGCCGGCATGCCCTGCCACTGTGCACACCCAGATTCGTGCATGAACTCCTCCGTGCAGTTGCTTTCTAAGGTGGGCGTCATAGGAAGGGCTTGGCACCAAAGCACCCCTGCTTCATCACACAGCTGCACATCCTAGTCTGAGCTCCGGCCCTCCAGAGGAGACCCTCTCAGGCACTGTCAAGCACACCCGCTTGGCAGGGAGGCCCGCATGGTTAGAGGGCCGCTCAGCGGCGGCTGGAAGCGGGATGCCGCCGCTCAGCCTTCCCCTCGCCCTCACTGTCAGCTTCACGAGCAGACACGGCCCCTCCCTCGACACAAAATGGCGCCCACGTGCCTGCCTGCGCAACCGCAACGGCCGCCTCCGCGCGCGGCATGCCGGGAGTTGTAGTTCGAGCGGGTACCGCGGGACAACCGCGATCCACAGCCAGTCTCGTACCTTCGTCCTGGGTCCGGTGCCCCGAGAGCAGTGTCCCACACCCTCATCCATGCCCTGGCCCCACGCTGCACCCAAGTTTCCTGAAAGACTGAGGAAACACTTTTCTGCCTCACCCTAGGCTGGGCATACCTGCGAATTTGGGGAAAACTGCAGTGCAGCTCTGTTTCATCACTGCTGTTCAGGTTCACTTAGCTCAGATGCCCAAAAATTAACACATACTAATGAACACATGTCCCTACAGCATTCTTGCACATCACCTACCTCGGTCTCTGCAAAAGATCCCTTATTTTCTTCTCATTTCTGTGCTATGCCTCGCCACGGTGTCCTACTTCATGTCCTGCCCTGTCAACTGACCAGACAGTTTTGTATCTGGGACTGCAGCCTCAGAGACACATGCTGCATTAGGCTGTTGCATGCTCTCCATCTCTTCTGCAAAGGAGACTGGAATGCAGCTCACTGCTACTAAGAAGAAACTGAGATGAATGCTGACAGCATGAACATAAACGTCTTGTTTTCTCTGAAAACCAGCCTCACTAGAAGAATGAAAATGCTTTAATTTAAGCATTTCTCCAGAAGCCACTGAACTTCAAAGATTTTGTAAATGTTTAAAGCTGGGGAAGACAAGACAATGTTGACACCCTTTGATTTAATGAAAAATGGATTTTACTTTGTCTCATTCAAACATCTTTTAGAATTCCCACTTTCAACAAAATTTCAAGCAAGGAAAAGACAAACCAAGTCCTACTGTGCTACCATTGTAATCCCAAATGAACTAACTCATTGCAGCCAAGGGAACAATAAAAAGAAAATATATTCTTTCTGTCAACATATCAACAGATGGCTTGATGGAAGCAGTAACTGTTATGAAACGCTTTTGTGAAATACAGGAAACCTCTAAAACAGCTACTGAATAACTCAAAGTTCAGGAAAAGAAATTCAAGCTCAAAACCAGTGAAGCAACTGAGGGTGGAGAGAACTCCTGCTCGTTTCTGCAACTAAGATAAGGTATGGCTGTATTTTGTTTCAGTTAAGCTGGAAGATGCAGCCTGTGCTTAGTACATGTCCTGGTTTATGGGGCTTTGCCAGAAATGCTGGCCAATACTTTCATTCATGTCTTCATTGAAGAGGAAAGATCAGCCAGAGGAGCCTGCCCTGCCTTTCAGCTTCAGGCTGAATTTGTAAGAGACTTTCCTCTGGACCGTGTAGGGTTGGCTGCAAGGGGTATTTTGGCAGCCAGCTAGGGCATGCGGAGGAAACATTGTGCTGGGATCCAAGGGGATCATGGCACAGTGGCAAGATTTGCTTGCTGGGAAGATTTTGCTTCCAGTCATGGGAAGAAAAGCTGGGTAAACAGGCAGGAAATTGGAAAAGAAAAGTCTCCAGGAACTTCATTCAGTATTTAAGAAGGATGTTACCATTAATAGCATTAAACACATACTAAGGTTAAGAAGCCTGAGAAGCTTTGTCCAAGATTCTTACATAGTACCTCTCACCTGTGTAGAGGCAAGCACCACGGTAGTACTAGAAAGAGGCAGGAACCCCCAAAGTTTTCATTGGCAAAGGCAGGAGGTGCTTGGTTTTGGTTGTGGACATTACTTCAGAGTTGTGCTGAATTCATCTGCTACAGTACCAGCCCTCATCAGTAGCGAAGCCTTGGGGGAAGGTGGTTTGGCTGTGAGGGTCATCTCCCAGAAGGGGAAGCAAGTACCAGTTGCAAAATATCCACTCTGAAATGCCAAGAGCACTGGAAACCCTTACAGAGCATTAAACACTTCTCTGTAACAGAAACATACAACTATTAAATGATGGAAATGCTCACAGGAATTGCTAGAATGAAAATTTAGCAACTCCTATACAGTATTTTGGTACAGTTTGTTGGAAATTTTATTCTGTACAAGTTTTCCATGAGAAAAGGAATCACTAAGGGGCAGAAGGCTGTCTCCAGCCCTCACCATGATTTCCTGTAGTCCGTGTTCATTTCCTTTTTAAGGGAGAATAAGCTCCAGAAGTGACAGACAGCTGATATCCAGTCTAGATTAAGCAGAAGTCCCCATGGTGCCCATTTCAGTGCTTATAGGGAGAGCACAGCCTAGGAACCAAATTCTTCCAGGACTAACATTGCCACCCCCCCTTCTACTTTTATTTTCCTCTGTCAAAATATTAAAATGTGCTTGCAAACAATCATCCAAATCTTAGCTGCCCCTCAAAGTGCCCTCAGACTATGGAAAAACATTTTTTCCTGCTGCAGAGCCATCCAAGGTGGGAGGCAGAGACTTTCCCCTCCCAGAGTCCTGTAGCAGTTTGCTACATGAACTGCAATTGATGACAGCCTGAAGGTCAACAGGGCTACAACCTACCTGATTCACTGATTCCAAATTCCTTGTGAGGAGGTGCTCATGATCAGATATCTTACACCTCAGCTCTGGGTGTAAAAGCGGTGCAATTCCCTTCGCTAAACTGCTGCTTTGTGTCCACAAACTGATGGTTCTTCATTTGCTGGGAAGGACAGTCAGTCTGGCTGTGCCTGCACATCATTTCCTTGACCTTGGGGCTTCAGTACGCTGTCTGTCTTTTAGGAACTGGATTCTGCTGAAAGGGGGAACACCCAGAGGCTTTGGTTTCTTTATGCTAGGACTGTCCAGAGCTGAGAACAGGGATGCAGTTGGGATGAAAGAGCTAAATTAGCGCAAATGACTTTGCCTTAGTCATGAATTAAGTAACAGGATGGTCTGTCCATTCACACAGAAACAACCCTTGAAGCCTTTCTCAGCTAGTTCCATCCCAGCTGCTCTTCCAAGAAGCTTGTGCTTGGCTTGATGGCTGCTGCTTTTCTTATTCAGCCCTCTTACCTGCACATTGGCACAGATTCAGATGTGGAAATCGCCATAACCCACACAAGGGTTCCATTCACAGCATGATCCCTGCTTCCTGGGACAGGTTAACAGGACGTTACTCTAGCACTTTCTGAACTATCACTCTCTTCCTGCCCCAAACAGCAGTTTGTTGCTCCCCTTGCAATAGCAGGAGCGGGTGAATATCTTGGGATAACATCACAGACCAAAAAGGGATGTGTTCTATTTTGACAGAACTTCATCTTCTTCTACAGGTGAAAAATGCAGCTGTGAAAGTGAAGTGGTTTCATTCTGGTAGGTGAGGATTAGCTTTCCTGCGGTAAGAAAAAGCAGCAGTTCAATGCCAGGACAAACAGGATTTTACATGCAGCCTGAGGTAGAGCTGGCTTTCACTCGGCACTGAAGCACGACAGAAGCTGCCTCTGTTCTTCCTGCCCTTCTCCAGCATCAGGAGCCGCAGGCACTTCCCGACCAGGCTTTACTGACCTGCAGCTCTGCCCTCACGCCGAGCTCACGCTGCCCGCAAGCCGAGGAGCCGGGGGGGGGGACACAACGTGCCTGTCCGGTCGGCGGTGCCAGCCGCGGCCGCCAGGGGCCGCCCCCGTGCTCGCAGCAGTGCGGAGGCGCCGGGCTCTGCAGCGCTGCCGCCGCTCCCCGCCGGTGAGCTCCCGGCTGGGGCTGCTCGGCAGCACCCGGGGACGGGGGGGATGCGCGGCGGGGCGCAGTGGGCAGAGCTCCGCCGCCGGAGCCAGCATCCCCACCCACCCCGGGGCAGCGGTGACGGGGACCGCTGCGCCAGCAGCGACGTCCCTGGGAGAGGGCAGGAGCGCAGGTACGCACTGCCCCGGGGAGAGGGCTGGCGGGGCCTCCTCTGTCCCCGCTGCAGCGGGAGGGCAGGGCCCGAGCCGCACCGCGGGAGGCCGCTCCTTTCCGGTTCTCCTCGGGGATACGCGTCTGCCATCCCCCTACAGCGCTGGATGGCGGGGTCGGTGGCAGCGAGGTGTCGCAGCAGCCTCACATGCCTGGCACCGCTGCCATTTCCCCGGGCACCGCGGGAGAGGATGGGTAGCGGGGAAAGGAATTTGAAACCCCTCCCCCTGTCGGTTCAGTCAGTTCCCGAAGCCCCTGACCCTCTGCACATCCTCATTTACTGCAACACAGAGTGCAGGCAGGCGAGCAGGCAGGCCTGTGCTCCTGCAAAGAAAGGAAGGCTCCGGTCCTCTCTCTGCGGGAGCAGGCAGGTATGGTGTGAGCAGGAAGCCACGCCAAATCCGGCTACTGTGGAAGCTGTGAGACAGCGGGAAGCTGAGGTGGAGCAGGAGGAGTTAGTCAGGGGCTGAGTCACGCTTGGGTTCACCTCCGTTGAACCAGTGTTTTCCTGTTTGCCCGTGATCTGCAAACTACCGATTGTTAAGATTTTCCCTCCTTTACTTTTTTTGCTAGGGATGACCTCCAAGAATGCTTCAGGTGAAGCTAATAGTAACTGGAGATGACTTTGGCTACTGTCCTCGGAGAAACCAAGGCATCGTGGACTGCTTCCGGGCTGGTGCAGTATCTAACGTGTCCCTTCTAGTCAACGGAAGTGCTGCAGCAGATGCAGCCGAGCTGGCACGGAGGTAAGCTACTTTCTCTAGCTCCTTTGTGGACAGCCTCCAGAGGCTATCAAAAGCCTTGCCTTGTAAAATCTGGTCTTCTGTAACGCCAGTATAGATGCTGTATCATAGCCTAGGGTGGCATAAGGAAGCTATTCCAGGCACACTTACTAAGACTCTTCATAGTAAAACCAATTACCTGCCAGCCATACCTGTAATGGGTATCAGGATAGAAAGCCACTTATACAATTTTAGTAGTAGACTTTGGGTGGGCTTTGTTTTCCCACACTTCTAAAAGATGCACCATCAGAATGAAAGTCCACACTATATGCCCAGGCCAAGCTGCTATCTCTAAAACTAGTAAAGCATAAAAGCACAAATCTTTAAATCTCATTTAAGTTGGTGCATTTGGGCAAGGCTGAACACAGGGTCACCCAGGTTCATTGCAGAATCAGGGAAAGGTGTGATTCTGCAAGGGCTTAGTTACAAATCTAGACAGTGGACATTTTTTTCTACCTCAGAAGCCTTTTAAACAAGTACCACAATATTTTTATAAATTTTAGGTTTAATAAATCCATCTGTAAAAATTGCATACACAAAAAGAGGGACCATACCTCATACGTGCCACCTTTACTCCTTCAGGAACTTCTCAGAGGTTGCTGGTATAGTTGTTTCTGTAGCAAATCAAATGTTGTGTTGGCCTCATGGACTAGCCCAGTAAATCCTTTAATAGGAAGCATTACTTGTGTTTAGAAGGTAAAACTCAGCTAATGCTTCAGCTCCAGTGTGGGCATGTGCTTGGAAGCAGGAATATGTCCTGGAAGAGAGAATAGCAGGGTTGAAAAAAAATTCAGAAAAGCAGAAGAGGAAAGGAACTGTGCTAGTAGTAGAGAACTAACCCTTATGCTTCAAATATAGATGCTGCAGGGGACAGTTTAATGAAAGTCATGCTGTCCTTGTTCTCCTTGAGCATCTTTCTTCAATTTGTCTGTGATTTTAGGAGTACTTGGAAATTGCTTGCATCTTGTAGCTTCTTTGGTGTTGGGTGGTATAGGAAAACCAGGGTGTGGTGTTAGTGGCAAACTAATCTTCTGTTAAAAAGGTTAGAAATTACACACAAACATTGAGAGAGGAACTGCCTCTGAGATGATAAGAGAAGACACTGTTGGGATGACTAAAATCCTGTTAGTAAACAAAACAAATGAAATGTAAAACATGAAGATAAAGCCAGAACTTCTCAGACACAGAGGTGCCATGGAAGGCTTTAAGCCTCAATGCTCTGGTAATGTTGTCAGCTATTTTAGTCATGGTCTTTAGCAGGCTTTTAAATATAGAATCCACCTGGCCTCATTTCCATAGTCAGAAAATAGACCATGGAGGTTTAAAAACCATCTTTGAATCCAGTTCATGACACTTGTGCTGACAGCTGATACAGCTGTGAAAAGCCAGGTTGGAGGGGAGGGGACAGGAGAAGATGCAACCTGCTGCTACTGTTTCATTCTTTTGGGGAATAGTTTTGAGTTGTGTCAATGAAATGGATTTAAATCTATTTCTGACAATATAAGCAGGGTGACTCTGGGGACATCTGTCAGCACTGAAGATAACAGCCCAGGTTCTGCAATTCCTCGTTTGTGTAACTCTGTACAGCTGTATTCAGCCCTACTCACCACAGATTTGCCACAAGGGGTTGGTCATGTTCCAATTCAGGTGCTGGTAGTACACCTTAATTGGTACCTGTGCATGCACCCACCCCTAAGATACTTGTTCCTTTATTGCAGAGGTTCACACAAAATCTTTTTAGACACAGGTGTCCAGTAAGTCAGACTTACTGGAAATGTCATTGAATCCTTCTCATCTTGTGGTGTAAAAATGGGAAAGTATAACTGTTGCTTGACTGCCTTTCCACTGTTGTTCTCTCTTCCCCTTGCTTGGTGTTGTCTCCCATCGCACTGTGAATATTGAGGCTTTGCAACATTTTGTGGTTTATGGGATGAAAGCCTGCCCCGTTTTTTTGATCCTCTTTTATCTTTCTCCACAGATCCCAACTAAGTAAATATGTATATACACAATATATATGCACACATGCATATATACTTAACTCCATAGCAGACATTTCAGCCTTGACCAGTGGTATAAGCAGAGACTGGATCTGTCACCTTTCAGGACAGTTCTTCTTAAGCACCTCACACTGCCCTACAATACCAGGATTTGGTATCCTTCAAAAAGGATCACAGTTCCTCTGGAATTCCATTCCTCCCTTCATTTCACAATAATTCTGTAGGCTTCTGGGTATATCAGAAACCCTGTTTTGATAGAAGCATTAGCAGAAATGCGATGGTAGTCAGCAGACCTTTGTACCAGTTCTAACAAAAACTAATTGCAAACCAGCAGAACATCTGGGTTCTGGATCTTGGGGACCCCACTTACTTGAGGCAAAAGAGAAGTTTCAGCATCCTGATCATCCGGCCTCGTCCATCCCCAAATGACAAACCTATTGATAGCGACTGCTGGAGCAGTACATAACAAGAGCAGCAGGCAGGGAACAGACTGCCATTGTGGGGGTTGTCCTTCAGTAACTCGAAACTTTATTCCCCATGGGGCATAGGCTGGCTGCAACTTCCTGGTTATCTATATAATATAGTCTCAATTTTCTACTTATCAAGCCCCACCTTGAAGTCAGCCAGTCTTCCTAGTGATTATTCCAGAGCCTCTCCCTGAGATCTAAAGGTTATTTTGTACCTGAAATTAATAGGTCCATTTTTCCTTAGAAATACAGAAAAAGCAGAAATAGACCTAAGATTGTTTCCTGCCATATTTCCCCCTTTTTATCAACCAGCTTAGTCATGATTGAGTATTAGGACCCTTTTCCAGATGATTATATCCAAAAACTTGATGAAAAGTGACATATTTTAGAACACAACTTCAGTCTTCCTGCCTCTTTTTTTTGCGGTTTAAATGCTGAACATCAGCTATACAAAAGCTGAAGCCCCCACAACATCTGGGTACATTTAGCAGAAGAATCTAACAAAACCACATTTAATTGCTGTCTATGTTTTCACTTCCTTTCCCATCAACACTAATTGCAAAATGTATGTGTAAATTGTGACTTAATTCTGACCCTCCCAAGTCAACATCTGACTAATCCAGAAATCTCTTATGCTTTCCCATCACCCTTTTATTTGACTGTTTATCACCTGGCAGACAGTTCCACAGCTGAGTTGTTTGAATTAGAGGTGGGATCCCAGCTGAGGCCTTAAACTAGAATCTGAGATCAGGTTAACTTTAGTGGCAACAGCGCTTTTTGCTGATGTAAGGTCTCGGACACAGGAGCTTCAGGTGATACAAAGATGTAATTAAAAAGAAAGTCACATCCTTAAGCTATGTTACAGTACCAGTTCCTAACAATACAGAGGCTTTGGAGTGTTTCTTCCAGCAGAAGAGTGGAGCAAGACAAGATGCTATTTGATCTATACAGTTAGATCTTAGCATTTGCTGAAGGGTGAAAGTGGGGTGGTAGGGAAGCATACAAATGCCAACATGGAGAATCCGAGAGGTCTACTTTTTCTGCACTAAGCACAGCCTGGCTTTGTCTGGCTTGAGATACATAGATGTTTACTGGAGCAGGATGTCTAGATACAGATATTTATGTGAGGTTCTTTATTGTGTCACACTTGGGCTGAAACCTGGTGAACCAGTAATTTCCCGGATAAGAATACAAACAGGATGTTGAAAGTGGGATCTGTTTGCCCATGAAAGAAAAGGGCAAGTGCCCTCTTATGCTGCAGCATGCAGCCTTCAGCAAGACAATTGGGCCTGTGCTCAGCGAATTGTATGATTCCCACAGCCACTGCTCCCAGGAATGCAGGGCCTGCACAGAGTCCCTGCTGCGTCCAGGAAGGGCCCAGGGCATCCAAGCTCATCTACCAACCTCAGAAATGTGCAAAGCCGGTGGGCACTTTAAAGAGTGACTCAGTATAGTAACAGTTTCCAGGGACCCTTTACCGCTAAGGATATGAATGAACAGGGATTGCAACTGCACAAAAGCCCATTGCCTTAGCAGAGACATTTGTTCAGAGCTCTAGTGTGGCAAAACAAGAACTACTTGAAAAGGAAGCAGTTTAGCTGATTGCATTTCCTCTCTCTATTTGATGACTGGGCTGGGCTTGCTGTCTCAGAAATCTTGCCAGACTGAACTCTTTGTTGTCCCTTGTAACATTTTTTGTAAGAGGCTATCCTTTCCAAGATAGTCCCATATCTTGACTTTTCTCCATGCCTTTTTTTACAATACATCATGACTTGGCATTGCTCTTTGGTTGCAGAAGCTACATTTCAGTGGTGAGAAGCACTGTGGAGCAAGAGTTAGTCCAATGTGTGTAAATAGGGAAGAAAGCCTGTTGGTTCAGTGTTAAAGCTCAAGCCTTTGGTCAGAGCAGAGCATGACTGGAACCCTTTCTTCCAAGGTACAGCCTTGGCTAATTACTATAATGCTTTAAGTTTTGCTTATGCTTTCATCTCATTGCACTCAGGATATCAGATACTTATGCAGTGTCAGGGCTGTTAGGAATGAACACCAGGCACAGGACATTTGGTGCTGAACCAGAGCATCATCTGGCTCGCTGGATCCAGAGGGAAAGCACATATTTAAATACAGGAAAATGCTAGCTAGCCACAGAATCCTGCTGCGCCCTCTGTGTTGTCCTTCCCATATCCTTCCAGCCTTCCCAGCATGCCTGCTTCTGTGCATCTCCCACAGGGGAATATTTCTGATCAAGTTCCTCACATGCTGTGTTTTCAGTTTTGGTTTCAATCCCTACATTCCAGAGCCTTTAAACACTAGCAGTTCCTCTTTAGACGCCTCAGCATAGACAGTCTGGCAAACCAGCCAGGACTAACTCTAAGAGAAAACTATTAAGATATTCAGCTGGTGTTAGCCAGAGCTCCAAAACATGCTCTTATGTTACAGTCAGAGTCTCCCCTTACAGCAAGAACAAGGGCAGCTCTCTCTGCACTTCCACATTCTGTGCATTCCCCAGCTCTGGGGCTGGTTTCAGCTCAGGCAGAGGAGCAACTCTAATGTTCTCCAGTGAAATGCTTGGCTCCTTGGTGTCCCACACCTGTCAGAGGGGCTTGCCTTTCCTAGAAATAGCTTCCCTGACAGCATGTGAGGCATTGCACAATTGGAGGTAGTTCATCTGATGCTCCTGGGAGACAACCCTGACAGGCTCAGCTGTTCATTTCTTGCCCTCCCACAACACATGAGGAGGAGAGTGCTCAACAAAAAATCTCCCATCTGCTGATTCATGGTAACACATGAATCGTTTTTCTTGTAGACAGCAGTGGTGGTGGTACAAATAATGCTGTCAGCTGATGCAGCTAGAGCTTCCCAGAGACATGATAAAGAGTCTGGGGTGGCCTTCCAAAACAAAACCATGGGCTCCCCTTCCGCCTTTGGGCTCATGAAGAGTGCAAAGTAGGTCACAGGATGAAGGAGAAGTCCTCTTGCCACAGCACTCCTTCTGACTGTGGCTGCCTCCTGCCCTGCCATCAGCCACCTGCTGAAGAGCCCCCACTCCCAATGACAGCATCTTTCAGTTCTTGTATTAGAGAGGAGTTAGTGTGCACGTCATGTGCTCAGCCCCCATGTATGAAAACAAGATGAACATTTTATCAACTATATAGTCAGGCCCTGCTGCAGAAAGAGAAATCAGAAAAGCCAGAGAGGACCTTTCTCTCCACAAGATGTTTTGCTCCATTCAGGAGACATTCAAACTCCCTAATCGCAGAGTGGACTGGAAAGATACGGACTCATTTTGTTTCAGAGCTGTCCATACAATTTGACTTATAACATTTATGTCTTTGAGAAGGAGCAATATCTAGCAACAGACTATACCATCCACCTGGAGCACGAGAGATGGAGGAGCCAGGAAAAGAGTTTCAGTCCTGCAAGAGCCAAAGCCTTAGGATCGGAAGAAGCTAAATGATTAGCTTAGTCCAGTCCATCCACAGACCTGTCCCAAGTGACATGGTGCTTCACTAGTCAGCTTCAGAGCAGCAGACAGAAGGGGAAAATGTTTTTTGCACACTTTGCCTAAGTGGGGATTGCTTTTGTTTTCCCAATTGTTGTATAAGGGCTGTAACAGGAACAGGTCATGCCCAGTTTTAACAGCTCCATGCAGAAGTTCCAGGAAGGATTTAAAGCATCACAGGCTTTATGCCTTGAAATTAACTCTGCATCATGACTCAAAACTGAGAAGCGGAGGAACACTGCAGTGCTGTCGTTTACTTACTGGGGCAGCCAGAGGCCAGGGGTTGTCTTGGGAAAAGTTTCAAAGCATCATTTTGGCCACTGATTCTGAAGATCTCCAGAAGCACTAATGAAACTCAGCACAAGTCTGAGCACACGCAGGCCCTGTTTTTGTTGTAGGGGAATCCACGGCATAGACTAAGAAAGAAAACCAGCACCTTCAGAAGAGCCTGTGGCTGAGAGGCGCTCTGCCAATACACTGCACTGTTTCTTTTTTTAAATGTTGCAGAGTGCAACTAGTAAATAAATTGTACCCTTGTGGTCCCTTAGCAGGGCTCTACTCTTATGCTGGGCCTCCCTGCAGTAATCCTTTGTGCCAGAGGGATGCACAATTCAGCCTTGTCACTCAGTGAGTGATCATCTGCACCAGTAGACAGAAACCCAGACACTGCAGGCAGTTCCAGCTGCAGCCTCTTGGACCCTTTAAGGAAACCCTTAAAGTCAGACAGCATTTACATTTGTAGCCTATGCTGTTGCCATAACAGCTGCTGTGGGCACTGTTTATACATGACTGGATTCTACTTAGGGGAAGCTTTGTAAGTTGTCAATTAAAACTCAAGTGTTTCATAAATGTAGCATCTTTAATAGGGTGAACAACTCTGCCAGTTACTAGTAGCATTCAGGTATTTAGTCTCAGACACCTCATGGCTGCTCTCCCCATATGAGTCAGGGCGGGAACAGAGCTGGGAGTCTCACAGGCCGGCCCTTGGCAGACTGCACAAGGATTCTACCTGGAGATACTCTGCTCTGGTTAGTGTTATTCTGCTTTCCTTTCTAGATGGGTAGAGATACAAAGATGTACTCCAGTGAGCACAGGACCACTTTTTGGATCAGTCCAAGTCTTTCACGGCTATCTTCGGCCTTCAGGCACAATAAGGGAGGTAGAGGTACAAAGCTTAACAGATATTTTGTTCATGTTACAGACACAACATCCCAATAGGTCTCCATGCCAACCTCTCCGAGGGCTCTCCTGTGTGTGAGGCGCTCAAAACAAACTCTTCGCTGCTCAACCAAGATGGATTCTTCCATGGGAAAATGGGATTCAGAACAGCACTATCAAAAGGTCTCCTGAATATGTCAGAGGTAGGAGAAAGCCATATGCAATCACGGAACTTGCTTTCCTGACATCGATCAGTCTGCACTTATCCCAGTACATAACAGCTGAAGATCTTCCCTATGTCCCAGCTGTGAGTAAGCTTAGAGATGAATTTTGAATCTGGGCAGCTGGAGCTGGTTTTCTGGGTCCTTAGCCTAATTCTGCCAAAGGCTCTGCAGCCTTTGAGAACTCATTTCTCCCTGCTTCAGACGCTCATGTCCTGTTAAACTACTTCTCTGAGAGTGCAGAAGGGGCATTGGAACAGATATTTACAAAGAACCTAAGCATTTGTAAAGGGAAAATGACAGAAGTGCTATGCAGGCAGTAAGCCTTTCATCACTTCATGAGAGGATTTTGTTCTCTAGTGAGATGGCTGGTTTTGTCCCATTAGAAGGATGCATGGTGATCAAAACTGCCTATGGGATATGAGCAGCCATTTCCCCGTTCATTCTAAAGGGAAATGGGTATTCAAATGTCCAGTATTTCTAACATAGAAAATCCCAGTGTTGCACCATCCACATAAACAGTACCACAGAGACCACGCCTAGGGGAGGTTCTGGGCACTGCATGTCCATTTAAACATCACAGCACTTTATGCCTCCCAGAGCTGTGTCACAAGTAGAAGCCAGCAGGTCTCCCTTGCACCCTCCTGACCTCACCCTGCTGAGAAGGCTTACTCTGACCCTTCTCTACTGTGCAGGTAAAGCAGGAGCTAAAGGCCCAAGTGGACCTGTTCCATGAGCTGACAGGTCACCTACCTCCTCACATGGATGGGCACCAGCACGTCCATGTCCTCCCAGGTAAGAAAGGAGTCCTCTTCTTCCCAACACTGCAAAGATGAGAGTCAGCTCAGACTGGATTCCCCTTGCCACAGCTCCCTGGTTGGGCAGTAAATCTCACTGAATACCCATTCTACAATTGCAAATTGAATGTTCCCCCCTGGGCCTCAGCTGGGTGCTTGGTGATCTGGGTCTTTCTGTAATATCAGAAGGGGATTAATGGCACAAATGGCTCAGGTTACACCTTTTCCTCCTAGGACTGATAATTCACCTCAGCATCCTAATTGCATGCTCCTGCCCACATCAAGGAGTCCAGTAGCAGGCTGGCCAGTTTAAACTGGAAAGCTTGGGTCTTTCAGGTGCTATAAGAACTCTATCCTGCCAGTTGTGTTTCCACACTGATGTCTGCAGGTGTCAGCATGCTTTACAGAGATAGGCAAGTATCTTTTGTCCCTGTTCTGCAAATAAGGTAACTGTGGTACAGAGATGAAAAACAGAGAGCAAAGCCACCCAGATTTCCCCACTCCAGCACTCAGCTGCCTGTGGGTGTCATTGCTCTTGGCAGTTTACCCTCACAGCAAACCTTGCTGTGCAGGGACTTCATGAAGAACTTGTTCCTGGCAGTGCAGTCACCTCTGGTGCACTTGAGGACCAGAGCTGCTAAGGTAGAAGGGGATGCTGGACCAAATGCTCAGTGGTGAAAGGAAAAACAAGGCACCCACACACATTGAGGCAGTAATGATTCCAGGACAGAAAGTGGCTCCCATCCAGATGAAGAAAACCATTTCAGCAGAAAATAAGCCAAATAGGATTATATTTTCTTTAACATGGAACAGAAAGATGTCTCTGTGCTAACAGTATGCAGGGACCTGATGAGCTGGTTATGCAATTCCTGACCACAGTGTCTGTGTTTTCACTCCCAGAGGTCAGGCACATATTTGCAGAGGTGTTAGAGGAATATGGGATTAAGTACACACGTGTCCCAATAGAGCCAGGCCTCCATAAATGTGACTGGATTTCACCATCCCTGATGGAGTTTTACCTGGGAGTGGAAGAGGATTCTTTTAACACAGTGGATGTGTTTACAAGTCATGGAATAAGGTAAGACAGGCATTACTCATCCTTTTTGTAGTAAAGCTTTAAGATCTTATCACTTCCTGATAGCACCTTTCCAGAACTGAAGACCACCTTTCTTTCCACTTTGGGGCTTAGAAGGTTCAAGAGGAGAACAAAAGTGCTGGGGGCACTAGGGCTTTGTAAGTTCTGCTTGCACAGATGATTCACTTCTCACCTTGAAGGGAATCTTCTTTCCAGGGCATGTTTCTCAGGCGTTCTAGTGAAGCTGGCACCTGGCATGGCAGGAGGATGAGTACTGCACTGACTCCGCATCAGAGTGGAATTCTGAAAGTATAATCTAGGGAAAGTTTTCAAGAATAACTTTTCATCTCCCTGCAATAGTGGAGAAAGGGTTTTAAGTAGCAGGAAAAAGATTAATTGGAAAGAAGTGTTTGCTGTTAAGGGGAGGCAAGTCCAGTGTTCTGCCATTGTTATGGCTCTTTGATATACTTGGGCAGAATGCTCTCTTAGCAGGTTGGTTTCTGTTTTATTTCAGTCACTTTGCTTCCCCTTAGCCAAGGGTTATTAACTAGAGATGGCTATTGTTCAGGCTTTAATTGGCTGGGTGAGTTATTTTGATAGCTTAGAATTGCTCAGTTTAGTTCTCTCTTCCCTCCTGTGCCAACAAAATGCACCTGCGAGCTCGCAGATGCCAAACCCCCTTTGTGCTGTCCCACAGCACATGTAAATACAGTAATAACAGCAGTGCTGAGGCTTTGCTGGGCCTGTCAGACTGAACCCCCTCCCTCTTTTCTATCTGAAGTTTTAGCTTAATTTTGATTCCCAACCCACAGGATGTAACACACTTTTCCTAACCACCTTGTTAGCATTAATATCAGCGTTCCCTCCTCTGGCTACAGGTGGCCAGACATTTACATAGGGTTGACTACCATGGGCAAGAACATGTCTGTCAGTAACATCTGGAGCGCCATCGACAGTGCCATCGCAGAGTTCACATCCAAGGCACCCTCACCCACCGAGCCAACACCACAGAGCAGGACCGTAACGATCGAACTGATGGTGCATCCCGGGTACCCCAGTGTCCCACCCGTCGGCGGCTGCGGGGAAGGACCGGATGACTTCTCGCAGTCCTGGGAGCGCCTTCATGAACTCCAGACGTTAATCAATCCAGAGCTGCAGAGCCATTACAAAACCAGGAACATTCAGCTTTGTTCCTTCAAAGATCTTTAGGCAAGCGACCATACACACCTTTGTTCAGGCTTGCAAGACAGTTACCAGTGCAGTACCTCCTGGTGCAGCTGACAGGGGAATGAACAGCCTGGGGACAGCAGCAGTGTTCATGGAAGAACACCACCGTCAGCAGCTACAGGTAGCACCCCGGTGCCCCGACCAGGAGATTTTAGGTCACAGCCCCCGCTCTGAAGGTGACAGACCTCCCCTGCACCCCATAGCCCTGCACCCTTCCAGCACAGTGTGGCAGCCAAGGCCCAGCCCTCCTCCCAGGGCCCAGTTCCTATGACACAAGCTTTGCTGTGAGACCAAGGAGGACACAGGCACCACCTCGCTTGTATCTGGCGAGACACACACGAAGGTGCACACTACACTGCCTTCAGAACATCTCATCAGAATAGTCAGATCACGCCTTCAGCATGGTGGCATCTGCAGCCACATCCCACGTACAGCCTCAGCCAGCAGGGATTACAGCTCTTCCCATTTACACTGTCTTTTGGCATTAAGCCACTGCAGGACAGTAACATCAGCCACAGCCCCTTCAGAGAGGCTTTCCTTTTTTTCCCTTCTGGATGACTTTGCAAGAACAGCAACTGTTGGGCCATCTGCTATTTCAGTCACTGCTGCACATGAGAGCTCCCCAGCAACTGTTTCTGCACTGCCCACTGCCTCTCAGGGAAAATGCATGGGACAGATGTGGACCAACCACGAGCAAGGTTCCAGATGGAGAAGGTGCATGTGTTTGTCCATCTTTATGTCTGTCATCAGGGTGTTTGAACTTAAGCAAGTCCCAGTAGTCCCAACAGGTCTACCTGCAGCCCGGCTGCTGGCATGCCACTTTCACAGGGGAAGAAGTATTTTTGATTGTTTATGCTCATTTTCTGCCCAAACCTGATCCATTTAATGTAACCATTATTGCCTAAACGTTTTTTTTTTTTCTTTAAATACTAAAAGTGTCAATATGATCATCATTCTTTTAAGTAAAAAATAAACTCAGGTCTTTTTCTAGTAATGCTGCAGGAGGGATTTGCTTTTAGTTATAGCTGAAGGGCAAAGTAAACCCACTCACCTACTGCTGCGGCTGCTGGCAGGGTGCTGAGACACCTTGTTCTGTTCATAATGGAGCCATCTGACCCCCCTGCAAAACAGCTGAGGAAGGCTTTTCTCTGTAAAAGGTAACAGCAGGGCTACTTTAGAAATGTTTCCAGGTTCCTTCCCAAGTCATCATCACAGAATTAATTTGATACAAGCTTGATTTTAACACCCCCTCTGGCAGCACCAAAGAGCCGAGTCTTTTGGCGTGACTCGATGGCTAAAGCCGGGCCCGTCGGTGTTCGACGTCGAAGTTCCTGCTCTGTGGTAACAGAGAACGAATAAATCCCGGCAGGGACCAGACCTGCTCGGAGCAGCCGCGGCCCCCGGCACAGCGAAGCCCGTGAGAGCCACCTAGTGACTGACGGTACTTTGCTATCGTGCAGGGATAAACCCCGGCTATTTAATACCAGAACCCAGTTCACGTTCTGTGACCGTGTTCTGACGAACATCTGTTAACATTTAAGCGGCTCCAAACAAAGGATGTGCTCTCATCACAGCCATCAGGACGTTACCCATGCCCTGGGCACTGTTAGCTGAACACTGAAACATGACAGCAGACTTACCTCGGTTACATTTTGCAAATTCCTTGTTTTTAAATGAACAGTGCTGAACCCAGAGTGTTCTTTTAAATGCAAGGGAGTTTTAAATAGAGAAACTAATAAAGAGCTACTAAAAGACTTTGAAACAGGGAACTTTTAAATTGCCTAAAGCACACAGAGATAAAGGAGGAGCATCACTATACCAGAACACTTAAAAAAAAAGTCTAAATCCCCCCTTTCTGAAAAGAAAACCATGCCACAAAGCCTTTGAGAGCAAATTTTTATTAGGGTAGCAGAATGGAATTGCAGGAAGCCTATACCAGTACTCCTGGGTGTAGTTTTACCAGCATGTTGTATTTTGGATATTAAACTGCACGTTTAGAATTCAGCATGGCTTAGGGAACCGGAGAGAACAAGAGCTTGATTTCCTGAGTTAACATAGGACTTCATACTGTGATTTATTTTCCTCAGACTTCAAGCATACAGCACAGTATCTGATCTTTTTCCAGAGGGCTGCCTACAAACAAAAGCCATCACTTGGGTTACACATCTTGTAGTTTAGAAAATGAACTATGCCGAGCACACCCAGAGAACTGATGGCGATATCTGTCTTCTATGTGACCTTTGCAGATGAAATCGGAATAGCTGGTGTAGTGCTGCTGTAGGCCTGCAGGGATGGAGTGGAGCTCCTCGTGTTACACAGCCCTTCCAGCTCCCTTCAACGGCATCCGAGTCACACCGGTTCAGAGAAACGCAGTCTTTGACCTGAGAGGCTCACAACCAGAAAGTATGCGATTGAGTAGTAACGAGGGCAGCCAACTAGTGCTACAGTCTTGTTTTAACTAAAATCTCAAGGATGGCGAGTTTCCATGCCCACAGACATGATCGGAAGGTACAGTGACTCACGTGATGCGGAAGTTACACACTTCAGCTTGACAGATAATTTGGCATTGTTTTATTATGAATCCGAGCGTGAATGAAACAAAATCAGTACCAACTTTCTGCAAATGAAGACACAAGAGATGTGAAAATCTGGTAATACAGTGCTCTCACAAGCCTGAAAACACTCAGGAAATGCAAGTTTCATGTAAATAAGGTGAATGTGGTTTATTTACCTGCCAAAGAATCTGTCTAAGAACACTTAAAACATAGAATGTCTTAGCTTCCTAACTTATAAAAACAAAGTACTTTCAGAGGTGAGGTACTGAGCTGTCATTGTTTACACTAAGTCGAAATGAAAGCCGGATGGGAGGGATGAATGAAGAAATAGCAAATATACAAGACATTAAAACCAAAAGAGACCTACTGCTTGACACACTAGTTCTGAAAGGTTGCAAAGGCAGAGGCTGTATTAAATCTGAATTTAGGAGTGCAGACAACCACCTGGGTACGAGGGATTTTCTAACTCAGCTTCCTGCATATCACAATGATATGTGCTCCCCGATCCCTGTGGATTTGTGGAGATTTGCTTAGTAACCTACCCAAGTTCAAGAGGCGGGAGGAGGCGGCAGTTTGACTGCATGGCAGTTTGACTGTAGCTACGGTCACGCTTTAGGCTGGGGAAGAAGTGGCGTAGGCAGAAAGCAACAGGCGCAGTAAAGGACGCGCAGTTCTGAGCAGAAAGGGCTTCCCCCTTCAGCATTTGCAGGGGGCCCGGCAGCAGCAGGAACACAGCTCTGCCTGATGAGGTTAGAATGACACAATGAGACCTGATGCACTCATTACATCATCTAACCTGTGTGGTTTCACAACACAGGAGCAGCAGCAGCGAAGCGCACTCCCTTACAGGTCAGTGCTCAGCCCTGCTCTCCTCCCATTCTCAGTCAGAGCTGTGCAGCAATTGGGCTGGCACATGGCACAAGTGCCATCCCATTAATACATGGATATTTGTTACGCATTCTGATGGAGAAGTGTTCCAAGATGGGCAGCAGTGCTGCCAGATTTAGTACTTGAATTCAAAATTAGCATCTCCAGATGACCAGTTTTTAACTCAAAACACAGTTTATCGCTTTGGTACCTCTTGGTCCCCAGTTTCTGAAACTCTTCTGAACTGGTTGGGCTGTTGTTCTGTGGGTGCGCGTCCCCAGCTGCTCTGCAGAGGTGTTAGGAACAGAAGTGAAAGAAGTTTGTAATCACATTCCACTACTCACTTGCTATAGAATTTTTTTCCCCAAAGTTTTCCAAAAGCAGGACATGAGCCGTATTTTAATTCAATGACGCACACAAAAACTTGGGTTTCCCCGTTTAATAAACATTTGGTGGTAACATCAGCCAGATTTACATGAGACCTGGACATTATTTCTGATTGGTTTTGTGGGATCTGTTGATTTATTATGTTACAAACTGAAGTTAAGGGGAACTTGCAGCAAGTCCCACAAAGCACAGTGCAACATTTGGAACGAAAAGTAAACAAAACTGCCAAACACTCAATCATTTTCTGCCAGAACTGGGATATTCTTTCCTAAGACATCGGCTTGGGGAGGGGGATAAAATCCAATAAAGAACTGAGTGAACTCAAGATAGTGGGAACTGCAGAAAAAATAAGTGACAGCCGCAACCTTTTCAATTTAAGGGCAGAATATAAGTCTAAGATATTTTTGATAAATTCTGACAAGAAAAAGAAAACAGCATACTTTAAAGTATATTGAAGCAGTGATTTTTAAACAAAGAAAGCAGAACTAGAACATCTTAAATTTTAATCCTTTCTTTACAGGTTACCTAGCCCACTTTTGATTAAGAAAACTGTAGAAAGTTAGTAACAGCCACAAGTTAACACCGAAAGGTGGCACTTGTCAATTTTCCATAGAGTCCTGCTTTACGGGGTGTCTCAAATGCACTGCTCCGATCTTCTATCATACGTTGCTGACACCAACTGTGTCAGGTTTTAGTCCACTGGTCGCTTTTCACCATATTTCTTTGTAAACTCTTCAGCGTTCTTACAGAATTTTTTACGGTCCTTAGAGTATTCTTCAGCTAGGTCAGCCCGAAGGGGGTGCTCGGGCTGTGGATCATTCACCAGTGCTATGAGGGACTGGATTACTGTCAAAAGAAGTATAAACACCGTCAGGCCAAGATGGTTCATTTCGAAAACATCAAAGTGCAAGCAAAATTCCCCAGTGAGAAAAGAGCTTTAACTGCCTTTAAATACGTCCCATAAACCTGGGTATGAATGAGCCATAGCAATGTGCCAAGATTTAGTTCAAGGACTGTGAATGAACACCAGAAAATCCTACTTGTAAACAAAACTTGAATGGAGACCAAAACACACTACAAACTATTTCCCATGTAACTGGCATCCCAGCCAAAATACTATGGCTAAGGAAGAGCCCGTGTTTCATGGACAAGTCCATCTAAAAGGGCTTGGGTGATGAGGGGATTTCCATCGTGAAGCATTTTTCCTATCACCTGTCACAATAACACAGCTGTAACCAGACTGCATTTGGAAACCATTTCTCAGCTTTCTTTATCTACAACTCTTACTTACAGGGAACAACTCTTCCCTTTTTTCTGAACTGCCAAATGCATCCACTGGCCCAGCCACCTACGCTGGTCAAACAGATGGGTAAGAACTACAGGATGCTTTTCACCCCCCTGTGTACAGCCATTTCATCAACGTTCCCCATCACTTTCAAAGGAAATGTCATTCTTAAAGTAAC